TTTATATTTTGGATGGTTCCTGTAAAGATTACAGAAAAAACAACTGAAAAATGGCAGAAAATGATAAATTGTTATTGCAACTGAAATAAACGAGTGAGGATTAATAAGAAATTATGGTATGTAACACAAAAAAATGGAGGTCTTGGTTACCCAATTTAAAATTACATTATACAGCAAATCAGCTCAGACATATTCCAGATATTATTATTAAAAAGATTACTAACCCTTTCCTTAAAAATATGTTAGAAAATTGGAAAAAGTTTAGAGGTATATTGAGCCCACCAATCTCTCCTTTATCCCGGGTGGTGGATTTAAAGAATTTTCCAGATAATCTTTAAAAAACTCTTAAGAATATATATGTATATGTATATATAAGGGATAGATAGGATAAAAGATTGGATGGAGAAGATGAGACGTAAACGAAATATAAAAGAGATTTTGGGAGGAGAGGAGATTTCTTGTTTAATATGATTCAAATAATAAGGTGGACAAGGGAATGAAATAGTAAGGAAGGAAAATTAGAAAAATGACAAAATTTGAAGAGATTATTGAAAAAAGATTGAAATTAGAGGAAAAGACAAAAAAAGGAACTGTTAAGTCAATTATATAAATTAATTCAGGCCAAATAGGATACACAAGGACTAAAAACACAGTGGCAATATGATTTTCACTTACATTTCTAAATATTCATAGGATTAGGATTAGGACTGACAGGAAAATAATGGGAACATTTTGTGAATACAGTGCCCTTTCCTCGCTTACCGGGCAGCGAAAATGGCAGCCGCATGGAAGATTTCCGCATAACGGTGAGTTTTTTGCCCATAGGAATGCATTAAACGTGTTTTAATGTGTTCCTATGGGCTTTTTTGCCCCGCATAACGACGAATCCACATAGCGATGATTTTTTTGGAATGGATTATCGTCGCTATGCGGGGCACCACTGTAACTTGTTTTAAATTGTTTGTTTTGAGGGGAAGAAATGGATAGAAATGTTACTCGTGTGTGAGTCATCTTTAAGAAGCAGTGCTTTAAGTCTAAGGGCTGGAGTGCCAGGAAACTACATTGCACTCTTTTTTTTAGGGTGAAGGAGAGTTATAAAAAAGCTCCAGCTAGTTCTAGTTGCACATAAAATTGTTAAGTGACTAGAATATTATTGCCACATTTCGCCAGGAGACTACATCCTTCCTCAAGTGTGTATTTGAGTCCAGCTTGTGGTAACCCATGGCCAGCAATTTTTCCCCACAAGTAGATCCACCACCACAGCCAGGCATTATGAGATAATTCTTGCAATGCCGTCAGCAGCCAAATGAAATTAAAGAGCTCAGGAGGGATTCTAAAGCATGCAAACATGCACATGAGTTGAAAATTATATAAATAACATCCAGCACCTTCTTGGCATTGGGGGGGGGGACCTACAGCAATCATACAGAAGCAGATTAGACACCTGCCTTCTGTCTTGTTCGGTGTAAATCAGGATGAAACATATAGGCACTCTCAGTATACAAATGAGCACAGGAGGTAGGGGAAAAGCCAAAACAAACATGGTGAGCTTAAAGACAAACTCGAATGCTGTGTTCTAATTCCCATAAATATACTCAGTGTATTGTTCTCCCTTAAGATGTTAAACTATTTGTTTATTTCTCCCCTAGCTGCCCTTTGGATCTGTCAATACCCTTAAATTCACCTCACAAAATTTTGCAGCTCCCCAAAAACATTGCTGGAACTCGGTGCTGCTAGAACGTCTTGCACACCTCCTATTTTGGAGTTTGTGGTGGAGACAAATCTAGGAGATCTGTCAAAGAGATTTCATGAAGTGGAGACAGAGGGTTATGCATCTTATAAAATGTATGAGCTACTTGACAGATTTATTTTCCATTTCAAACTTATTTTTCATGCTCTACTCCTGTATTCCTTTCATATAAATGCTTATAGCCCAGTAGCACTTCCTAAACGCTCCCACCACCATGGTAAGTTCTGCTGGGCTGGAAAGCAATGTGCAAAAAGCCCTATACCAATGGGGAATGCAAACAGGATATTTCTCACCTTTTATGACTGTTGCAGATCTTAAACCTTAAACCATGCATGCCAGCAGCTTTGGGAGGCTTTTCACCTGCAAGCTCATGCCTCTGAAAGATTAAATAGGCATTAAAGAAACTCCTGGTGGGCAAGGAATGTGTCACGACCCACAGAGCCTCCCAAGAACAAGAGCAACAGGGCATTTAGTAAGTTTGATTATGAAGAGAACCTTTTAATGCAAAGCAAAACGTGCTGCTATATACCGCCCCATAGTGCTTCAAGCACTCTCTGGGCAGTTTACAAGTTAATTATGCAGGCTACACATTGCCTCTCCTAGCAAGCTGGGTACTCATTTTCCCAACCTTGGAAGGACAGATGGCTGAGCAAACCTTGAGCCAGCTACCTGGGATTGAACCCCGGGTCGTGAGCACAGTTTTGGCTACAGTACAGCAGTTTAACCACTGCGCCATGAGGCTTTAAGAATTAGTAAGGAAGGTGCCCATTCTGCCAAATCCCCTTTGCTGTTCCACGAGACAGTAATATGGGTTAAATATGGGCCACACCTTATTGATAACATCCAAATATGAAATCTGCCATCCTTTGGCAAAAGAGGGGGCCTGTTGTAGTGCGGAAACAGATAAATGGCAAGGGGCATCCAAATACCCCTTGATCAAGAAATGGGCGAGTCCCCGGCCCCATGTTCCAGTGGTCACCAGACAGCAGGAACCCGGCCAGCCGCTAATAAACACTCCCAGGCCTCAAGATATCATTAGCTGATGACTGTTGGTCCAGAAGTGGCCCAGCGCATCTTCCCCCCACATGCACTATAATCACACGATCCGCAGGACCGGGAGGTCGGATGCGCTGTTGGCTTACCTGAGATTACAAATGGGATACACCAAAAGTACCAGTTATTTCCACACTACCCGCCAGTGCAACCAAAAAATTCTTCCCACCAAAATGCCAACAACCCTCTTCCAATGTGGGATAGGCAAAAAATCCCTCCATTCAAGGCCAATCAGGATGAAGGTCAAAAATTCCTATCTGGCCCCTTAAAGGTGACCAGAAAAACTCACACTAGAAATAGGGAGGGCAGGTGGGTGCACAAAAAAGAAGAGGATGGTGTGGGGGTGGAAAGCTCCTTAAATAACCTGGGCTCCCCACCCCCATGATGTCAGTCTTGCGAGACTACAGAAGTCTTGGTCTCTCTGGGGTGGCCAGCAAGGAGCGCTCACGCTGCTCAAAGTCCTCTCTCAAACAGAGGTTCCTTAGAATTTCTCCCTACCCTGTTAAAAAATAAACAAACTGAAGAAAAATCTACCTGGGCTTCACAGGTGTGTGTGTTCGTGCATATATGGGCATCTGCATGTGTATGCATGCAGCATTCTGCAAAGTGGGGATTTAGGGGTCAGCACAAGACTAGTTGGAACATAATTAGCAGGGGGAGCATTATCTCTACACCATACATAGTTTTTAAGTAGAGCAGAGGTGGGCAACTTGTAGTCTGCAGGCTGCAATCATCTTCCCACTTGATTTCCTGCCGCCATCAGGTAATATCCAAAGCCTGCTGCCTGTGAGCAGGTCAAGCCATTACAGGAGCAACTTGCCCTCTCTGCAACAGCCTGTCAAGCAGGGAAGAAGGGGAAGGAAGTGACCGGCTTCCTTTCAACTCTGTTTGGCCCTGAGCACTGCTGGTTAGCAATCTGCCCATGCTGGCATGAGTCCCCTCCAAAAGATTATTTCCACCTAAGTGCATCCCTCAACAGAAAAAAAAACCTGTTGTCTGCTGCTGTTGACCTAATGGACAAAAACAACTAAAGGGGCTAACAAAACAGAAGAACGAGACTGCTGTGTATAAGCCTGGCTTCTGGAGCTGCCAGCAGTTACACCACAATGTGATTAAGTCCTGTGCCGCTCAGTGGAACAAACTGACACACAGCAGCCATATTTGAATAATTGTGGAGCAGAACATGAAAAGATGCCACAATGCTTTGTGATTCGGAGACCATCCCAAGAGGAGGTGCTGGTGTCTTCCCCTGGAGCTAAAATTAGATGGGGTGCTTTTCAGACTCAAGTTATCCAGCACTGTAATAAAAAATGTGGGGAGGGGAGGGGAGGTGGAGAGAAAGAATCATGGCCATTTCTGATGCAGTTATGCAGACCCACAAAAAGTTATGTGGCTCAGTGGGGGCCAGGAAACAGTTGCAACACGCTGGGTGGTCTATTTAAATTTATTCAGAGTTTAACAAAAATATAGAGAAGCTAAAGGGAAGCACGAAACTACCAACATGAATTTGACCAAACTCCAGGAGGCAGTGGAAGACAGGAGGTCCTGGTGTGCTCTGGTCCATGGGGTCACGAAGAGTCGGACACGACTTAACAACTAAACAACAACAACAACATAAAAGGGAAGCAGGCAGCAGAATAACAAATAGATACAGAAAGATGAGAAAAACGCTGGCTGCATGTGCCATTTGCCAAATGGTAAGTGGGCCTGCTGGTTTCACCTGTGGTGCAATATTTACATTCATCTCCCCAGGGATACAAATATGCATATCCCATGTCTAATTTGAAGATAGTGGGGAGTGTTAGGATGCACTGCCAGGTGAGGGATGGAACTGCTTGAAAAGAACCACCTTTGATAGGTGGGTGTTTCAAGGCAGGGCAAAAATTCCCCTTAGCACTTCCTTAACTCGATTATAAATATTGGGCATAATATTCCAAAGAAATTTCAAAAACAAACCCTCAATTAATCATAGTATGAAATGGTTAAACACTGTTGGATAACAAATCAGTTGAAGAAAATAGTAGACATTTGGCACACAATTCACAAACAGAGAGAGAGAGGAGCAATTTGTTGAATAAATTATTGGCTGTGAATTATTAACAGAGTTCTACTTGTAAAGGAAACATTGAAAGAAAGCTCTTTCTGGCAACAGAAAGAGAATGGGAGTGAAAGCAGACGAAGCAGAAAGACACAGAGAAATTGCTTCCTATATATTTTTCCTACTCCGTCTCACTGATAAAGCTATGAATCATATTGATTAAGATTTCTACAGTCAGTTGTGCTGCATTGTTGGTGACCTTGGTATGTATTTGAAGACATAATCTCTCAGCTTTATAAATCTGCCTCTCTTCTCAGGCACTGATACATGAAATTTCACTGTAAGTGCTGGCATTAATTAATTTATGTAAATCAGTATGATACAATGCCTGATTAGTATCTTTCCTTACATTATTATATGATTGTTTTAAGAGAATGATTGACGTACAATATCCACTTAGGAGAGACTCAAATATGAATCTCAATATATGCAATACAGTATTAACATTTGTGCAAATGACATTAAATTTGAAAATTAAAAATGCAAACAACCTACCCACACAGTAACATCACCAAATAAAGGAAAAGTATGTCTTAACTGCACAGTTCCTGGTTGCCACTTTGCTACTCACTCATTCCAGGTTACTTTGAGCCTCACGTTAGTAACCCATCTCCCTTTTTGGAAAAAAAGTACTAAAGAAATAAAATAAATAACGCAAATAATAAATACACAGGGAAGGTACAATTAATCTGCTACCTTTTTTTGAAAAATATATATACTTCCAAAAAAGGCTGAAAAATTACCTGAAATGATCCTCAAACATTTTAGAAGTAATGAGTAAACTTTATTCCATCCACTAAAAAGAGTAAGAATTTAAAAAAATGATGATGTTATAGGTTCTTACGTTATTCCTTTAAAATATCACTGCTGTGCTTTTTTTTACACAGAAGTCATGTGCTGCATGTACTGCTTCTACTTCTGATGTGTTGTTTTCAAACACTGACTCAGACACAACTTCAAATCTACCAGTATGGTGGGAGTCAAGACAGCCATGATTCCCCTTCTATCTTAATTGCTGTTGTGTACTTCTTCCCTCCCATGTCAACAGCACTCAGGGCCCCAGCTGGCCTTGTACAGAAAGCAGGACAAGAAGGTGTACAATGGCAAATGAATGGTATCTTTAGTTCTAGGGTGCAAGGTGGCAAGCCTGAATTGGTTAAAATGAGAGTTGCTCCCAATCAAACCAAGTCAAGAGATGAACAGAATAAAGTAGCAAGCCTCAAATCTGAGTTGCAACTCACTTGCCCTGCCCCCCCCTCAAAGGCTTGGGAATCAGGACTTGGTACCAAAGACTCGAGCCTCCCACTGCCTGCTCTCACTGCCATCAGCCTACCTGCTGCTACTGCCTTCATTCAGGAGCCAGGCCATTGCCTCCCCCGACACTTGTGCTGACCAACTAATAGGCCAGCACAGGCAGGCTCTCTGAAGCAGGAGGAAGGCAGAGTGCTTTTCATAGTGATGCTCTAACCCAGTGGAGGCAAACCTTTTTTGGCTCAAGTGCCCAAAATGAAGGGATTGGGGAAGAAACCAGTGGCTGCCGTGCTGCCTGGAAGACCAGAACCAGAACAGGAAGTGGCAGTTTCACGGGGAATCATGGGGACGGACAGGAAGTTAAAGGGGGAATCATGGGGATGAATAGGAAGTTAAAGGACCCAGAACAGGAAAAGAAAGGGGGAATCCCAGCTGCAGCCACTTCAAAAGTTTTGTCGCATGCCAGAACAAAGGGCTTCGCATGCCAGCTGTGCCACGTGTGCCATAGGTTCGCCATCACTGCTCTAACCTGCTGTACTCTGAGGGCAGGTCCTCCGACCCGCCTCTTCCTATAAGTCACCCTGGTGACTCTCTATGGCAGGCTAGAGCATCATCAGTGCAACTTACAAGAAGAGGTGGGTCAGAGGACCTGCCCTCTGACTGCAGAAAGCTAATACATCACCATGAAAGGTCTGAAGTGCTACATTTGAAGATGGCAGTGGTGGCAGCAGGTAGAGCAGTGGGGGTGAGGGAACATAAGGACTTGACAATGCAATCTGGACAAATGGATCCAAGTCACAAGCCAAGTCACCTCAGAAATCCCCAAGTCGGGTCCAAGTCAAGTCATGGGTGCAACTGAAGTCCAACTCAACAATAAGTCATGAGTCTCTGCTGTCAGCTTTCTTTATTGTCTACCTTTCACACTCATATATGGTGATCGGAAATACAAGAGCATAGATGATCTTGGTCTTGGTCTCCAGTGACACATCCAAGTATGAAAATATTAGAGGCAATATGACTAGTATCCATTGACTTCGTTATGTTTCAATATAAATTTCTGGGCCAATATTCAAAGATGGATAATATTTCATGAACAAACTGCAGCCCCTCATAATTTTAAACTACATGCATGGAGAGAAACTGCCTTAGGAAATTTTGCTTATTAAGGAAATCCCAAATCCACTTGATGCATATATATATACAGGGATAATGATGGAAACCACACCTCTGAAAGATTCTTGTCACAACATTATTGCCTCATCAACTGTAAATAATGTGGTTTATCCATTCACCATTCACAATGTACTTCTCCAACAACATGCTGTTCAGGCTAGCCTGTCTAAATTCTTATTAAAGTCTACAAAGAACAGCGGGAAATACCAACAAAGATTTGCATAAATATTTACATTTTAGGCATTTGCAAGTTCATTGACTTTGTTCTTCAGTCTCCTCCAAGTTTGGAAAAATAATAAGGCTAATTAAAACAAACAAAAACAAAGAAACACAAAGGCATTTTCTGTGAAATGAGTTGAAATGTAGCAGATATGTCTTTTCATAAATGAATATCTGATTAAAAATTATTATTAGCTCTTAACTGATGAAGCAATAACTCCAAATTTATGCTTAAATGTCATGGGTGCAACTATGGGCAAATCCAAGAATGGTAAGTGTTAAGTCCCTCTGAAATTAATTAAGCAGATACCATTCCCACTGAATTTATCAAGTGTTAAAACATAGCTGTGGTCTTGGGTTTTCTAAAGCTATATTATCCACTTAGTGCTAATAAAAGTTGTAAGAGTGTACAATCATCTATAAAATGTTAGCTTAACAAGGCCTAGAAAGCAAATGAGCTACTCTAGTTTAGGATGTCAAGGTTAAATGTCTACACACTTACTTTAAATGACAGAGATACAACTTCAAAAATCCAGATTATTTTACAGAATACCCTCTAAACACTTCGTTAAAAATACAGTATCCAAACTGATTCTGGACTGAATTAGGTTCTTCATAGCAATAGCCTAGCTTACTCACATAAGGCACAACAATATGGACCAATTTGTAGGATGCTGAGACTAATTTCCTGTGTGGTGTCCAAGTTGAGATACACTGGTAACTTTAGCAACAGTAATTCTCAAGCTTGAACACATCTTTGGATATATCTATGTAGTAGGATAATAATAAGCTCTATGCACAATGATAATAATAAGAGCTCAACTTTCTTCTCCATCATTTTAGTAGATGATAGGAAAGGGGCTGACATGGAGGGCTACTCTGATATACAAATAAATATTGATTCTGAATATGTGAAAGACTCTTATTGTCCAGCTTCCCCAAATGAAGGCTTGATCTCAAGTGCCAAAAAGAACCCCAGTTATGTTGATTCTACTGTTATTTAAATCATTTTATAAATTTCTGTTCAGATGATGCACAGATAAGATCAATTCATTTGGTCAGCCAATCCGTTTTTTTCCCAACTCGCTGGTTTTTTTAAAAAATGTACCAATCATATATCGCTTAAATCCTTATCGCTTCAGCATGTGTGAATGTTGTTGTCGATGTATTTACTTTGTGTAGGGGTTGGGTTTTTGGCCTCTGTGGACACTTCATGGCCACTGCACATGTACCATTAAAAAAAGATATTTTTAAAGGGATATCAATAAATTGCTTGTAGCAGCAGCCGCCTCTACCACAAAAAAACATCATGAATACATTGCTCCAAAGGAGAAGACCCCCACTACCACCTCTTGTGGGTGTAGGGAAGGGAAGGGAAGGGGAAAGAATGCTTGAGCAGAGAAGGGATCTTTCCTGATCTAAAGTGTTTGAGAGGAGAAAGAAAGGTGCATTTCATTCTCTTTATTTTTGAACCCTGCTCTTCAGAATACTTAACAAGTCTTTTAAAACCTGCTTCCCACTACCAATGCTGTTCAAAATGGGGAAAAATGAAGGCCAAGAACTGAGAGGGAGAAATATGCAGGAAAATAAGCAAAGGGGGATGAGTAAAGGAAGGAAGGGAAAAGAGAAAGAGGAGAAAGGAATTGGGAAGTGAAAATTAAAAAGGGAAGGAAGGAGGGGCTGTAGGTAGCATAAACCACCAGGTTGCACATCTACTAATAGTTGGAAGTTACAGGAAAACAGGGATATATCATTTACGGTGACCACATGTAAAAATGTCTCTATAGTATTCCTAAAAGAGGGGAAAATGGATTTTTTTTATTTTTATTTTTTGCCATATGTGATCAAGCCCCGAATAGAGAATATTTATGGATAACAGCGGCTGTCTCTTCAGATAACAGCCCTATGAATGTGGACAATGACCTGAAATTTTGGTGGGGGGTGATGAGACTAGCATGCTCTTCCTTCTCATGGATTTATCTCCCATGGCTTCCAAATGTTTGAACAGAGCTCCTGCAGAGCTGTGAAACAGATGTAGTTAGGACTGTTCTGTTTTCAGAGTGATCTCAATCCAATTTTCTTCAGGTCAGGGTCAGCAGGATGGTGTACATCCCATTTAATGTTCTATCTTGTTATGCCTCTTATGCATGTATATTTAAATCACTGAAATCAGTAGATTTAACACAGCCCCATTATCAATTTGCAGTAGGAAGTCATCTTATTTCTTCAATCATCCATTTGTATCATTCCTGTCTCAGCAGAATAAGCCTTGCTGTCTTTTGCCATACTCATCCCTGTCTCAGAACAGCTCCCCCAGGAGCATTCTTGATCAAAGAAGCCATTTGGATGGTCTGAGGTACTTGCTCTTTAGCCCGATGAGGTCAGCCAATGATTATGTATGCTTTCCAACGGCTGCATTTACATTACCTTCTACTAAATGGCAAAAGTCTGAAAATTCTGCAAAATTCTTGGCAGCTATTCCTTTTAAACAAAAGAAGATCTATTTATAGTCTGTCTTGAAGAAAACCTGACCAGGCATGGTGGCTGGGGGAATAATCTTCAGGGTATCATTTTAGTATTTACTGATTCATTTAAAATTTATTAAACTAGTGCTACAAGAACCAGTTTTATGGCTTTAAACTGTACCATGCTTTTCCTTAACGTAGGACATCACAATCCACAGAAAGTTTTGTAAGTGGACACTTGAGATTGAAAAAATAAATAAGAATCTACTCAGGATCTAGGGTGGAGTAGAACAGCATCTAAGTATTCTGGAATGATGTGTCAACTGGAAGGCCTCCAAATAGACATACAGATGCCAACAGGATGATTTGGGTGAGTGAATGCAGAGAGTGAACTGACAGGAGAAGTGGCCGGGCTATGGATGAAGACCATGTATTGACAGATAGTTATGCTTCCTAAGCACGTAACAAATATTTGCAAAGTTATTGACCTCACTAAAAATAGTATGATATATCTTGTGAGATATTTAAGGAATGGTTTTACCAGTTCCACTCCCCAAGTGAGTTTCCATGGCCAAGTGAGGATTTAAATCCTGTTCTCCAGACTCCTAATCTATCATTCTATTCACCACACCCATACGGGGCACAGATGTTATTAGACCACTACAAGCTCACAAAGAGCCTCTAGATTTCAAGTACTGCAGCACTGTTCATTAGGCTGGGCATTACACGACTGGGGGAGCAGAATAAAAATAAAATAAAATCCCAAAAATCATGGGAAGATGAAATGAACAAGTGACATTGAAACAGGTATTAAAATGGAGGTTGCTGCATTCTAGGGTCATTTCTGGATGAAATATTTCAGATATCACCCCAGATAATAAGTCCTTCCCAACCTTTGTCGACAAAAAAAAATGGCAATCATTTAGCAGAACCCTCCTTATGATTTTGTCAAGTAACTAGAAAACTTTTAAAAATATTTTCCTTGTCACCTCTGAGAACAAAATAAGCTGGGCCAGAAAAACAGCATATAAAAGAAAATAATAGACAGGAAGATGGACAGACAGACAAAATAGATAATCTTCCCTATAGTATTTATGATGAATCCACTTCTTGGTTCTCACTAGAATCCCAGAACATTTTTTTGCAGGCTCTTCAATTTTTCTACTGCTATAGAAGGTATAGTCCTCAGGTCAAAGCCAGGGGATGTTCTAGTTTGCTATCTTCAAAATCCTTCTGTTTTGATTGCCTTTCAAAATCTCATGTTATGTTGTTGTTGTTGTTTCCAGAGGGTTCCAGTCCACTCGAAGGTATCATCATTTAACAGTTAGGTGAATCATTCAAGGAAGAAACAGGACCAAGGCCAGTGATAAACAGAGAAAGAGATATGACAGGATACAAGGGAGGCTGGAAGAAAAGAAACACAAGTACTCGGCTAAGAGGAGTCTCTCTAGGCCCAAGGCTGAAGCTTTTATTCCAGCAAGCCACCATATGTACTGAAAACTGTCACTATATAAGGTGGCTACAGATCTTTCAGGCTGATCAAAATTCTGTGGTCTGCAGATCTTGGAAGTTAAAACATATAAATAGCAAGCTCGCAGATGCTTGACCTTCTTTCTCTCAAGCACAGTATTTCTCTTCCCCACTGATTTACCAGTCCCACTAACAGGACCTCAAAATGGAGCACATCACATGAAGATGTTTGTACAGCAAGTATAGGAAAAAATGCATTTTTGTATAGTGATGCCTCACTTAACGATTGCCTCACTTAAATGACGAAACCAATCGCAAAATGATGTTCCTGTGGGGAAAATTCACTTAATGATGATTGGTTCCCTGCTTCGGGAACCGATTTTTCGCTAAACAATGATTTAGAAACAGCTGAGAGGCGGTTCTAAAATGGCCACCCGCTGTGCAAAATGGCTCCCCACTGTGTTTTCAGGATGGATTTCCTGCTTTACAGGCAGCAAAAATGGGTGCACCTATGGAGGATCTTCGCTGGACGGTGAGTTTTCAGCCCATTGGAATGCATTGAACCGGTTTCAATGAATTTCAATGGGCTTTTTCATTTAGCAATATGATGTTTTCGTAAGACAGCAATTTTTGCAGAACGAATTAACATCGTCTTGCGAGGCACCACTGTACTTCATAGATACTGCATACTAAAAGGGGATTGGTGTCAATGTAGAAAACGAGGAATTTAATAATACATTTGACACTGTACAACATGGTTTGAACCAGCCATAGGAAATAGCTCTTGCATGACAGAATAGCCATTGTTTTGCATATGTTTATATATCCTTTCATCTATTAATTAATTAATTACACTTAATTCGGAGTGGGTTTCTCTCATTCTGGTCATATTTGCATTTAGTAAAGCTGGATGTACTGAGGGGAATATCAGAACTTTTTGGAGCTGACACTAAAACTTTGTGTTTTATTTTTAGATGTGTATATAAACCCAACAATGGCTTTAGGAAGCTACATCTCAACAAGTGGTGAAAACATGTCTTAATAAATTTGTTAGCTGAAGCAATGAGAATCTTTACAGTACAGATGCAGAATTGTTACAATAAAAATCAGTGTGACAACTCAAGTAGTATATTGTACTCCAATATGTTTTGTTCTTTAAGGGGGTTCAATATTTTAACTTTTTAAAATGTCTCTGTATTATTGAGCTCAAAAATGGTAAAAACATAGATTACAGTGTGCAGAAAAGGTTGTGTATTGCCTTTTGTATTAAATTAATAAGTAATTTCCACTGCGACTTCCTGCTAGTGAAAAGAGATATGGGGGAAAATGCTGAATAAGGACCCTTAGTGCCTTTTTAAAAGTCATTCTGATGATGCAGAATCATTCTTATGGCAATCTACATCAGCAGCACCAGTATGACTTGAGAGTGAAAAATAAAAATCAATCAATTCACAAGCTCTCTGTCAGCAGGTAGGGTATTGATATATCTTTAAAAAATGTTAGAGACTCACTTTGCCTTGGAATTTAGAAGAGTGGATGAACAGCTACATGCAAGCAGTGCATTTTAACATCTGTATGGCAATACAAAGTGCCTCATACCAAAGTTAATTATCTGGCCATTTTAGCCCAGCATTGTCTATACTGATGATGATAATTGCTTTGGGTAGAATGATCCATGATCCATGATCCAAAAGAGTTTGAAAGATTAATATAAAAGTAATTGGCTAGTACATTTTCATGCCCCAAAGTAGTTATCATTGTAGTTATGAATCAATTTTAATAATAAATCTTCCCAATTTCTCAGAAGAAAGTAAAATATTTAAGGTATCTATTTTAAAAACAACAACAATATATGAGGGCTATAAGCCTGTGGTACAAACAGTTCTTCCTATCCAACTCATCAAGTCAATGGCACAACAGAGCATGTGGAAGCAGCACAAGACGCAGCAACAAGTCAGGATCTACATCCTGTGCAACTCTTTTCCCACTACAGTGGTGCCTCGCTAGACAATGATAATCCATTCCACTGACATCGCTGTTTAGCGAAATCATTGTCTAGCGAAAAACATTTCCCCACTGGAATGCATTGAAACCTGTTTAATGTGTTCCAATGGGAAAGAATCGTCGCTGTCTAGCAAAGATCGGCCATAGGAAAGCCGCTTTGCGAACCACCAATCAGCTGTTTAAATCGCTGTCTTGCGAAGTTTAGGTCCCGAAAACTCCTGTTTTGTGAGCGCGGAGGGAGCAGTCAAAATCTTTGTCTAGCAAAAATCGGTTTGCGAAGCAGGGACCAAACATTGTCCAGCAAAATTCCCCCATAGGAATCATTGTTTTGTGAATCACTATAGCGATCGCAAAAAGCCAATGTCTAGCGAAAAAACTGTCATGCGGGGTAACTGTCTAGCGAGGCACCACTGTATTTAGTGAGGCTACCCTCCCATAAATAGACTCATTAGCATCATCTTAGAACTAAAGAGTTGGAAGGGACCCAATGGATCATCGAGTTCAGCACCTGTCAAGGAAGCACAATGGGGACTCGAACTCCCAAATTTTGGCCCCACAGCAAGATAATTTAGAAGTTCCAGTTTTACCATTAAGGGATGACTATGCCCCTCACTAAGTTACAACCACAGTGTAGTCATGACTTCAGTAATGCATTCAACTACTTACTTTCAAGCTCTATGATCTTAAAGATTTTGCAGCTGGGCAACATGCACTTTTGCACACAGAGGTGTGCTTTGGACCCCTCCCCCACAGGAGCTAGGACTAGTGAAAAAAATAATAAATTAAAATAAAATTAATCCATGGGGAACTCAAAGATTTCAGAAAATCAGGAGTGGTGGTGGTGGTGGTAAGCTGGCATCAGGGCAAGAAACAGCTTCCATGTACATTGTCAGCAATCAGTTTCTGGAGTGTTGCCTAGCTGTGTGGTTTGTGCAGAATGGTGAACTACCACAATCACCAGCATCGTCAAGGTGCTATTAAATGCACATGGCTTTCTACAAAAAAAATATATTAAAATGGAATTTAAACATTCTGTCCCAAATAGGAGGAGAAGGGGAGAATAATAACATAAATACAAAGGAACATTTATTTAAAATGCACAATTAAAAAAAAAAAACAGAATTGGACACATCATAAAAGAGGTGAGCTTTTGAAAGAGATTTTAACATATTAGATTAAAAGGAATCCTGCAAATCTTTAGAAAGATGATTCCAAGCATATGTGACAGAGAAAGGATAAAGGCAAGTGAATGATCAGAACCTTGGACAGGTAAGAAGACAGAAATGGAAGAACAGATGAATGATTAGGCCAATAGCAGAAACTAGAACCAAAACATAAGGAGGAGGCAGACCATGAAAAATATTAAAAGTAGAAATAAGGAACTTAAACTGAACCTAAAAATGGCAGGAAGCTTGTGTAGATATTTCATAAGCAGAGTAACATGATCCAAATGATGGGCAAAAAAGAACAAATGAAAGTTTAAAAAGATCTTCAAGGAGTATTGAATAGAAATGAGAGGTTAATATGAGCTTGTGGGAGACCAACCGAAAAAACACAATAGTCTAAATGAGGAAGAACCAAGGCATGAACGACAGTCTTTCCAAAAGTAATTTAAAAAATGACAAATTATAAAACAAGGGGGTCTTTTACAATAGCTTGGATATGAAATATATATATATTTATGTAGACAAAATAGAAATAAAACATTCTCCTCCAAAAGATGGATAAGTAACATTATCAACAGCTATACAAAAAAGAAGACATTTTGGAAAGAAAAAATAAGTAACTCAGCCCGATTAAGTTTAAAATGACCAGGGAGCATCCCTCAAAAAGCTACATTCCAAAGTAAAGTTGCTTTTTCCTCATTTTTATCTAGAACAAATTATACCAAACTAGAAATTGAGATAGACAGTTCCATAGTTAATACACAAGAACTTCAACATATGCAACTCTGGGAATTTATTGCAGTACAGTAAACCACCAAATTCAATTTAATTTCCCCTTTAGGCCAGTGTTTACTGTGAATATCCATCTTGAGCAACCCAAGATAACCCATGCTTTAAAGAACGTAAGCAGGGCTGAGTAAAGCCTGGCTCCCAAATACTGCAAGTTCGTATCAATGGATGGAAAAGAAATTTGAAAATTCGTATTAACAGTTTTCTAAATAAATTAATACAAGTCATAGTCTACAGAATGACTAACAAAAGCAGGTATGTATGTTTATTTCTCGTGACTGGGAAGAAACTGTGAGCACCAGATTCTTTTTTCCATTTCCCATACAGATTAGACACAAAAGGGCAGACCTCAGAATGTGTATCCTTGAAAAAATGTACTCAAGCACAGTTTAGTGAATGCAGAAGAAAGGTGGAACAAAGTGTACCCATTAGAAGTCCATCACAAAATACATGTTTTGCACAGCATATGTATACATTTCCATGTGAGAAGAAGTAGCAACATCTCACAGGCAGATGCACAATTAACATGGGAAGAAACAGCAGGTGAGTTGGGAAAAATGCCAGGAAATTAAGAGTGAGAGATTTGTACTTCTTTCCCTATAGGATGAGAATATGTATATTCTCATCCTATAGACAGAAATTCCTTATTTCTGTTTAGAGCCAGAAATTGAAAAGTGGTGGTAATGATGGGTCTGATATTGCTGTGCAATATTGTGCCCTTACGGCCAGCAGGAAAAAAGATATCGAGCTTTACATAGCAAAGGGAAGCCTGAATATTGACAACATCAATACACCCTCTTGCACTCACTATCATTCAAGTGGATTCAACGTATAATGTTCAGCCCCGCTGGGCATGGATCTGCCTCGCTCTCATGCAACTTCACCCCTGTGCAGGGTTCTGTCATGACCGGAACCAAATGCAATCACTGAGTGGAGGACAAAGATAGCTGCACAGAGGGAGGTGGAGTCGTCCATGTGCACACGTCTGGCTTAGAGGGAACCTTGGCCCCCTTGAATTCTTTTAAGGAGAAAAGCTAGATAAAAATATTTTAAATAAATAAATTCACAAGGGAAATCCCAGAATCTGACCCCTTTTTTCACCAGTTAACCACTTCTTACCCAAGCACAAAACTGTCAGAGCATTTTAAATTCTGGATACAGACATGCAATTTCTCACATTTACAAGCTGGAGGTTTATTGAAGAATTGAATTTCCTGGTTTTTTAAAGCAGAAGGTAAAGCAGACATACCCGACTGTTGCTGTTGGTTTTCAAGACCTGAGGACTAATATTTCAGCCCCTATATGCTGGATTCTTTCCAAATAAAGGAAAACAATTGGGGGCAACAATTCTCCTTCAGTACAAGCAAAATACAGTGGTGCCTCGACTTATGAACTTAATCCGTTCCAGAAGATGGTCGTAACTTAAAATGGTCATATGTCAAAGGACCATTTCCCATAGGAATGCACTGAAACAGAATTAATCTATTCTGGCCAGGAGGGGAAACACACACACACACACAAACAAACAAACCACAAAACACTGCAAGACCCATTGGAAATGCAATTAATCCGTTCTGGCCGAAGGGAGGGAAAAAAACCCAAAGCAAACAAGAGACTGCAAGACCCATCAGAAATGCAAAATAAAAAAATAAAACACACACACACAACCAAAAAGTAAACAAACCCTGCAAGACCCATCAGAAATGCAAAATAAAAATAACCACCTGAAAAACAAAGACTGCAAGACCCATCACCGCATAGAAACATAACCCAACCACCCAGCCCAAACCCACCCAGAACAGCCAGTTTTTAAAAAGCAAAAAGCAGCACCTTATCAGGCAGTCCAAAGCTTCCTCCGAACTCACGCTCTCTAACCGCTGGGGCTAAACAGCTACAAAGAAGCAGCTTCTTCGCCGCCAACGGTTAGCAGTTTGAATTCCATGCCTTTTTCCCTGCCTTTTTTCTGGTTGTAACTCAAAGTTCCAGTCGCAACTCAAAGCAAAATTTTGCAGCCAGAGTTGATCGTAACTCGAA